GTGGAGTCCACATAAACATATTTTACGCGTTGGTATACCACGTCAGCTGTTTTCCGTTAGTTAACATGCCACGTAAGCCAAAATTTAACGGAGGGAACAAAAAAGGGCCGGATTTGTGAACAGTAAGGATCAAAAAGGGGATTTTTTCGGTATAGGGACTAAAAATGGGCTTTTTTCTATAGTAGAGGGATCAAAAAGGGTATTTAACCTCCCTTATATAACCCCATCACTCGTCTCACCATGGTTCTAAAATCCATTGGCTAGCCAAGTTCTAAACAAATCCTAGGTTTTCAATTAAATCTAGGTATTTAATTAAATCTAAGCTCCGGTACCACTCAATTTGCTCTGATACCACTAAATTTGGAGGTGCTTAATTTAATCCTAAACTCTGATACCACTAAATCTGTGACGCCCAGAACCCGAATCCGAGGCGCGACAGATGTCGTACACTCTGAGAGGATCCTACAAATGCACAAAACTCGGAACTTATCCAATTCACATCTGACAATTCAATAACTTAAATCAAATATCTCAAAATAATTCTATGTCCAACATGCCTTAAACTCAAAATCTCAAGGTCAAATCTCTTGTAAACTAACAATCCATTAAATGAATTTATAAAATCTTCAATTAAAATCTTGCTTACAAGATTATGATCTATATCTAAAATCCATATTCAATTTACAAAATGGCTAGCCTTTTAACTTGTCACTTCCCGTGGTTTCCCCATTCTCGGTTTCGCTTCCTGAAATGGTGGATAAGGAAAAACTATGAGATAAAATATTTCAGTAAGTAAAATATGGAGTGCCCCTTATTAAACTTATAGCATGCTAACAAGTGTAATTACGAAAAACGGATACAGTATGGGAATGAAATAAACGTCTCCTCTATAAGTCATGGCCAGTGTTATAAACCTCCCACTGGCAGGCTACACTATTTGCTGATGTATAACCCCCACTGGCAGGATCACTCGAACGAACCGGTTCTATCAATAACATGTCGACATGTGCTAGCGTTTAACCCCCACTAGCAGGGTCATTAATAACATGACCACATTGGAGACAAAATAGGCAGAAGTTAACAGAAAAATCATAATTCACCAATCACTTTCAAATCATCAGGACAATCAATTAAATTTCAAGTAGGCATGCTCAATTCAATGGAAAACATAATAATTTCATTTCAAATCAGTCATGCTCATATATGTGTAAAACAGGTTTAGTCCCGCCACCATTTCAAAATAAGTCAAAACATACTTTTAAAAACTGTACGGGCATTACCATAAATTTACTTACCTCAAATCCGGAACTCAAGCCAAGTACTCGGGTGACAGAACAATCACGAACCTAATCAAATATTTCAGAATTAATACCATACTATCACAAATTCAAAGTGAAATCATCATTAGGACTACCCCTAATCATGATGCTATTTTTATCAATCTCCACATTACCGGACATCTCCAAATTCGTTCTTGTATTACAACCTAAACATTTAAATCCCCGTTAATTTTTGGCCATTAGTGCGTGAACAGTGCCCATGAACAATGCCCTTGAACAATATCCATGAACAGTACCTATGAACAGTAACTGATATTTCCAGAATTCAACTACAGCCAGCTAAAAGACCAGAAAAATGGATATTTCATCAGATTTTTCAAAGCAGAAACGGACTGAAAAGGAGAAGAAAACAGTAGCAAATTGCAGAATTTTCTGCGTGAACAGTAACTGGTACGTGTGAACAGTAAAATCTTTGGCAAAACAACAGGATTTTCACGCAGAACAGCAGCTAAATTTCAAGCCAAAACAGGTTTATTTCTACATGAACTAAGCCTAAAAAAAAACACGTTTAAAGGCTGCTAATTTCTTCCCCTATTTCGGCAGAAAATTCGGACACATAAGCAGCAATTAGATGGCTAAATTTCAGCAATTAAATGGGTGGAATTTGGACTTAGAGAAGCTGCCACATACCAAAATTTAAAAAGAAAAACTGGAGCTGCAGTTTGGGGAGGAGCCGGCGGGAAGTGCAGAAAATTCAGGGGGAAATTCGGGAAATCTACCCAAAAATTGGAGAAACCAAGAGAAATCAAAGTTAACCCAAGCCAATTCAAGGAAGAACAAAGGAATTAGTGGCTGTTCTTACCGAAAAAGCCCAGAAATTTGCACCCACAACCAAGAGCAGTCGGCGGTGAGGAAGGAAGGAGCAGAGCAGATCCGGGATTCTGCGTAGGGGGGGAAAGTTTCCAAGCTTAAATCTTGTTCTTGAACAAGAAAAGAAGGATAAAATCAAGGATCTTAACGGTTTCTCAAAGGCTGGTGCCGGCGGCTTGGAGGGGCTCGTCGGGAGGCAAAAGTCGGGAGGAAGATGAAGAGTAGAATCGGGCTGAAGAAGAAAGAAAGAAGGAAAAGAAATAGCTAATCCTTATCCAAAATTTCCCTCTTTAAGTCCCTCAAGTTTGGAAATTTTCACTATTAGGACCCAAAACAATCCTTTCCTCACAATCAAGTCCTTAACTAAGTGCTAAATATCACAAAATTTTGGGGTATTACAGTTTTGACGACAACATTTGAAAATACGATGTCGTGGTAACTTAGCTAGTGACAAAAGCATGGCCTATGTTTCTTTGTCATTATGTCTTCCCTTGTCGATCTTGTCAATCAACTTAGCCACAAGGATGGCCAATTCTAGTCATACCCACACTAAATGTCTTGTTAGAAGACATCCTCCGTTTTGACGATTTGTTGGACTTTATTTTATTTGTATTGAAAATTACCAAGAGGTGGCCCATCTCCTTGTTGAATGAGACAATGTCTTCTTTAGTTAAGTCCATTGTCCATCATGATAATGGACTTTGAAATATAGTCAAGCTCATTGTTAGTGTGTGATGGGGAGCTAATGTGATAAACAAACTCTTTGATTGTGGTTGACAGGGTTTTTATTAAAAACTTGGCTCATTATTTGCAAGTGGTGGGAGCTTAATATTGATAAGTGAACCCTTTGTCTGTGGGTAAGGGGATTCTATTAAAAACGTGGCTTGTTTTTTTTTTTTTTTTTTTTTTTTGGTAAAATGTGAATTTATTTCCAAAATCTATACAAGGCAGCTCTTTTTAAGGCTGCTACTAATGTTAGTACAAAAAAAATGAAATAACTTCTAAGCTAAAGTATGTTCAAACCTTAGCTGTACATAAAGTTTTTAATCTCCATTGAGCTGCAATTTTCCTTGACATAGGAGAAGACCTTTCCTTTACAGACCCCAATACTTTGTCTCGGACATCCATTTGAATCATATCAATTATTGCAGAAGGAGATCTATATAGCTATCTATGTATCCTGTTGTTTCTTTCAATCCATATATGATATATTGATGCACACCAAGCTAATTTAAGAAGAGAGCTATACAATGCCTTATGTTTAACTCTCTTACATAACCAATCCAAAGCATCTTGCCAAATGCAGTTTAATGGGATTTCCAGCATAGAAGAAATCTTTTCCCAAATATGAGTAGTGTAGGGACAGGAAAAGAAGAGATGGTTCCTAGTTTCACTTGCATTCCCACATAGCACACAAGTGTCATCAATGGAAGAAGACCAATTCTTCTGCCTGGACCTAGTAGAGAGTCTATCTAATATAGCCAACCAAGCAATAAAACTATGTTTGGGGATAGAATTTGAGTACCAAATGAGTCTAAACCAGGGTACCTTAGATCTTTTTTGCCTAAGGAAGTTCCAAGTAGCACCTGTTCGAAAAGAACCTGATGGAGAAGCCAACCAAACAACTTGATCCTCCATAGCCTAATTAGGATATAACATTCCACACAAAGCAATTTGAATCTGCAATAGTTCAGGGGACCTAGCAGGAGGCCATTTCCAATAATCCCCCTGGATTACATGAGACAATTTTGCTTGAGAGGGAATGGCTGCATCTTGTACAATTTTCTGCCCATATGCTTCAATAAGAGGTCCCTTGGGATGCCAAGAATCATACCAGAGGAAAATAGTGTCACCTTTACCAACTATATGCTTCACCAGAGGTTTAGCATATGTTCTAAGTTTTAGGATTTTTCTCCAACTCCAAGTAATGTCTGCAGGAATTCCTACTGACCAAAAACTCTTTTCTTTAAGCAGATATGTTTGCACCCATGCCACCCAAATAGAGCTTGCCTTGGTGAAAAGTAGCCAAATGAATCGCAAAATGCAAGCCATATTCCAAATATGCAAAGGCTTCAAGCCTAATCCTCCTTCCATCTTTGGTT